AGAAAACTAATCTCTAAGAACAGGTACACTGCTGATTCTATTTTAACCAAACAAAGGGCCCTTTTAAAATCCTGACTGCAGTGACAGTGATTTCACATAGGCTATTGGTTTAAAATATTTCTATGTACTTTATAAGCTCAAAATCCCAACTGGTCTTTGGTATTTGTGCCACTGAGGCATCTTTTCAAAATGTTGCCCACAGCAACAGCACCTTGTGTCATTATTCTAGATCTTTTTATCTACTGGTCAGTTATCTTTTGCCCTTCACTTTCTCCCTCTGGAGAGAGGACTTCTTTTCACGTTCAATGCCTCTCTTTGTTTAACCAAGCTTTTGTTGAAAATAAGTATGCAAAGTGCCAAGGTTTAACTAGCAGGCATGCTAAATATATATTTAGTAAATGTCTTTGTGGGTGGTTTACATATGAGGGTACTAGTGCTTATGTCAACAGAACTGGGAATTGCCTCTCACAGCAAAGAAAAGTTCCTTGTCTAGGTGCAAAATACATCTGACCAAGACAATCAGGATTATGGAACACAACTCCTTGTACCTATCTCCTTGGAAGCATAAAGACAATCCATGCCTGAGTTATAAACAGGCCTGGGACAGAACTGCTAATAATTTCTAAATACATCTGCTGGTAAAGAAGACACCATTGGCACCAGGGTCAACTGCTTCATCCCCTCACTGGAACTGACTTTACAAAATAATTTGGAAAGTGTCTCAAATTAACTACTGCATGTTTTTCTCTAAATTTCTGTTTGCATTAGGAAAAGTTGTAATGAATAGTGGATAAAAAGAGAAACTGTCACAAAAGCAGTATTCCCAAACTACCAGGTTATTTTATATTTTTAAGAAAGAATTAAAAACATGTCTAATTCTTTGGATATTCCATGAACAGAGCTTGAAAGAAAACAATGGAGAAAAGAGTAAGGAGGAAGAGAAGAAAGGGAAGGAAAGGAAGGTAAACCATTGGCTCTTTAGAAATAAAAAATGTAACTTAGATTATGGAAGCAAAAAAAGCAATCAATAAAAGAATTATTAGTGACAATTATTGAATATCATTATAGACATCAGACCAAATTCAATGACAAGGGGATTGCATTCAACGGTGCATGTCACTGTTAAGATGCATGCAACATTACTGTACTCTCTTACAAGGCAATGTAACTATTTAAATAGCCCAGATTTTACAGAAACTTGAAAATCAAATATCATAGAGTTCAAAATACTGTGACCATAAAAAAAAACTCAATCACTTTGGGCAGACCATATATAGAAAAGCTACAATTTCTAGAAAACAGTAATAAATTTTAGGTATATTTCTCCCTGTCTACCAGGTAATTTTCAAATAAACCTGCTCTTAAATACATGTATCAAAAGACTTAATTTCTGAATAACCAGAAGAAGGTTTCATTAAATCTGCAATAGAAGATTATGTTGCAAAATTTATGTTGCAGTTTTTAATCCAATCTGATCTCATTTTGTGACTACACTTGATTCCCTGGGTGCATTTTTGACTAAAACATTTTAGGGGATTTATGTCACCCACCTCTAAACTTGTCAGTTGCAATTTAGAGGTAAATTGAATCAAATATTTTACAGACAGAATCTGAATATGATTATCCTCTATCACCATCTCAAATACAAGCTTGTCAGGTTAAATTTCAAAAGAGAGAGCTTAATTAAACCAGTGTGAGAAGGAACTAGCCCAAAAAAGAAATTACTGGACTTTGTGCAGAAATTATGTCAGTTGCTGGGTCAGAATTTCACTGTAAATATTTCCAACACTTGAAGGTTTCACTGTACATTTATTGCACCTGTCTGTTAGATATCTAATATGACAGCCTTATATAAAGCCATCACAAATATAAGCTCTCAGCTCTGTAGTCCAGAACTAGTCAACCATCACAAACACTCAGTTAAATGTCTCAGTAAATCTGCTGAACATTTCCCGAGACTCCAAACAAGAGCGTAAGGGCAAGGACTAGAAAGCACTATTCAAGATCTGGCATTCTTCCCTGGTTACAACTGGCCAAGCAACCAAACCTACCCCCTAGACCTCCCAAAAAGCCCTAGAGAAATTCAGTGTATTCCTAAATATTTGACTTTAAAAGGGCAGGCAATTTAACAGCCAGTCAAAGTATTTCTGTTTTATTATGAAGCAGTGTACAAAGATGTAAGATAGGAATCAGATTTCTTATTGCATTCTGCAGGATGACCTGACAACTTTACAAAAAAAAAAAAAAAAAGACTAAATCCTGTCTTATAAAATTCCATAGAAGCTCTTCATAAAAGAGAGCAAAACCTCTGAAAACAGAATGACCAGAGACATAACACTACAGCAAACCTGCTCCTCCCCACTGAATCTCCTGCCATTTGCCTCTTCCAGCAGAATGCTGGGCACAGCTGTCTGTCTCTACACTGCACGCTCAAGTTTGAGGCCCGTGACAGAACTGTTGCCGTCATTTCTCTGGGATCTGCTCTTCCGAGAAATAATCCTTATGCACGCTCAGTGCTATCACTGGGTAAACCACAGATGTCTTAGAAATGCCCTTCACTAAAGTATTCAAGAATGCAAAGGCTTATCTGAACAATAGCCAAAATACATCTTGGTCTAGATACCACAGGATTTGGCCAGGGTGGAAACACTATGGGAGTAATCTCTTGGATGCTGTTTCTTTTCTTTGGGGAAGAAACCAAGAAAAAGCAGATGTGTAGGGAGTATTTCCAGATGCCATTTGTCATCAGAACTATGGCACTTGTCATAGACCAGTTACTTTTCTCTACTCACTTTTTATTTCTTTTAAAAAGAAATGAAAATAAATGAAAATTTACAGAAAAAACTGTAGGAAGGTTACTCAAGTGCTGCTACCTCAAAAACAACTGAATGGTAGATTATTTTTACAATAAGATTGCTAAAGAACACAGAGTTTGAAAATCCTTATTGCATATGAAATAGAAGAGTAATTATACAGAAAGATTTTCCGCTGGAAATAAGAAAGTTAACAGTGGGGAAGAAATTCAATAAATGAGGGACCCTAAAAGAGAACATGCATTCCTGTCTTTGATGCTCTGGGTAGCAAATATCCAGTGTGCAGCAATCAGATGTTATTGAACAGAAAATCTGAGAAAATCTAGGCTGAAATATTTCTGAATTTGTATCTTTACAATCTTTTCATGTTTGTACATTATGCCGTGACAACAGCTCTGTAGTTGACTATGATCAGCAACAAGGAAAGACATCTTCCAGCACTGAAAATCAGTTTTTAAGTGTCGATACTACAAACACACCAGCCACACCCTGCCTCTAGGTCGCCAGGATATCACTGGGGCTTAACAGGCACCACTCCACTAGCAGCAATGAACTACACAAAGTGCAATAAGCTGATGCCCTGAGGCGACAGGCATAATGGTGACTTGCTAGCTTTGACTTTATATTCTCTTTTATTATTGATTTCAACTGAAGGAAGTATAAAACAGCAGAGATAATAGCTATGATGATATTTACTTTTTAAAAAGGGATTTAGAGGTCTTTAAAATATGGATTGCTGACCTTATTGAGGGTTTATTGTTGTCTCCTATATATAGATCTTTGTTTTTCAAGGTCTTTAGAGGCTGACCTGAGTCTACTGCTTGAAGTACTTCTTGGGGACTTGTTCCTAAGTAGATCCCTAATATGACAAACCATAATGGCTCCTGAGAAGATAACTCAATTTTTTGAGCCTTTGGAGACTTCTGCAATGTCCTGTAGCACACATGTCTGCCACACTGTGATTTTCTGCCCACAGAGCTAAAAATGGACCCTTTGCTGTTGGAACAGTGTTGAACAATCGTGGGATGGTGGGAGAAATTTCTACACTTTCAAAAGGCCTTTCTGTTTGTTTTAGGAGCGAGCTCACCAATGGTGCCAGAGTATGAATGTCATAAACTAGTGGTCTGAAAGGTATCAGCTGGAAAAATCAAGTAGTTACAAAAATGCAGAAATACTCCAGAAACACGTAACTCAGAAAGAACAAATAATTTTTTTTGTTTGCCTTGTAAAATTTAAGTAAACATAGCAACACTCAACCTCCTCCCCAAAAAGAGACATTTTCTCCCCCACCCCCAACTTGTATTCTAGAGGAGCACAATTTATACCAATACTTTTTTTCCTTGAAGGCTCAACCATAAACACAAAGAATAGTTGTTTAGGATAGAAATATTTACAAGTCCTTCAGCCTAACTAACACAACGCACAAGAAGGCACTGTGATCAAATCTACCTTATTTATTCAGGTCTTTTTCCAATAATAAAATTCAAAAACAGTAAACAAATTCTTGAAGAATGAAAAAAATTCCTTATTTCACCTTCAGTTGGGGTCACTTCATATAAGAGAACACAGAAAAGAAACTCCAGTAACAGACTACTTGCAGCAGTACAAGGAGCAACCATTAGATTACTTAATTTTAAAATGTTGTATACATGATGCAGCTGAGTTTTTGTTTCAAGACAAATTGTTTTGTCTTGAACAGAATGAAGAGTTCAGCTCAGAAAAGCTTTCAGAAAACTTACATGGACCCTACATCTGCATGTCTCTCTCTTTTAGAACAGCTCTCATATTCCCTACGGATATTTTACCTCCATCTAGGAGCTAGATGGAGGAAGTAACACTGTTGAGTTGCTTCAGTGTAAATTGATTTAGTTTGTAAAAGGCACACCTTGGGTGCTGATGGCTCACCAGTAAGAGAATTCTTAGCTCAGGTCTGCCTGCAGTGCACTCACAGTGGGACCAGGCTGTGCACAGTTCCACACTAAGCTCAGAAATTCTCCTTTCCTGTAACTTTACACTCTGCACATTATCATAAACCTCCATCTCCCCACTGCTTACATAGCTTTTTACTGTATGAAACTATTACATTTTGTGTGCAATCTGATTTCTTCACAGCCTGAAAGGTAGACCTCCAGGTCTGTTGCTGACTTCTGCCAAACCCCAGGAAAATAATTGCTACGTGGCACTTACCTCTCCTTCTCTGGGCCACGGCCTTCCATTCTGTGTGTATTTGCTTTGATTCTGGCGCTTCTTTTGCCCTCCATCAGCAAATTTGCACAGCAAAGGCTCAGTGGGGGCTGTGAAGACAAGAAACCCAGTCTATATTAGCATCCCCCCCAAAGAAAGTGATTATACCAGCAACAGTAGTGCTTTGTAATACTGATCTTTTGAAGTAAAATCTTGCCTTCTGCAGATATTTTTTGCCTCTTTTAGCCTTGACTCCACTGGCAGCTGTTCTTATTAACTAAGCTTCAAAAAATATATACTGGCAGCCCTTAAAAGAATTTAGCAAATATTGTTGAAAAAATAATCAGCCTACGCAGAATGTTAAGTTGCTGTAGTGGAACAGTATAGTCAGGCATTAGTTCCAGCTAAGTTAGACACGTATTCATGACCAGCATTAGTGCAAGGATAAACACTGCTTTACTAAAGCAGCTTTCTGTTTTTAGTTGTAAAAACTCTGCAAGAACCTGTTTAAGGAATAAGTGTTCCCACTGTTTTGGTGTTTCTCAACATCCAGTCCTTTAAAAATCTGACAAAACAGAATAAAATGGAGACTTTTGCCAAGCCCAGTCCAATCAGCTTTCTTTTCCTCTTAACTCCTCTTTTAAGAAGTTGGCAGCTGAGAAAACCCTTTTCCTCTCTGAGTGAGATCTGGAGTGTGTGAATACAATAATGGGGGAGGAGGGCAGAGTCCCAGGAAGAAAGGATTATCACACCCCAAAAGGCAGCCAACAATAGGGTCCTCTAGAGAAGAAATTAGCACACATCAAACAGGCACAACAGGAAGGGAACTTGGTGTCTTGGGATCTCTTTCCCATCTACCCAGCTTTTGACAGCCTCCTAAAATATTTTTTTAAGCTAAACTTTAATTACTCTGCTGGTGGGAGCTTGTCTCTCCTGCTTCATCCTTAAAAGGGGGGGCAAATTCTACCCACTTAGGTGTATGCTAGAGTTGTGCTTTATTGCCTACATCAGCAGAGAAGTTTTTTTTTGAATATTTGCCTGTTTGAATGAAATCTAAAAATCATGTGTCACATCTGAGACTTTTCAGGAATCTTTGCATTCCCAGGCATAATAAGTCTGTAATTAATTAACCAAGAGTTTTGATGGAAAAACTAAGAAATCTGTGTTTTTTTCGTTCCCATTTCTTGTTTCTGGGGGGCTAGAAATATTGAAAGGATACAACTGCAGAGACATGATGAAAAATTTTTCGGTAGAGGGGCTAATCAAGTTTTTGACTTATTTATTTGTTACAAAAATTATGATTTGGTTAAGGGACAAGTTCATATGGTATTAAAACAAGCTAGTCTCCAACAACCTTCTGACTATAGCCAATTCAAAATGGATCAGAAAGTGTAGATTAAAACCATGATCACTTAAAAACTGCAACCAAGAAACAATGCATAGAGAGAATCTCACATCAAAACCACAATTTCACACTGGGATAGCATCACTTTGGCTACTTTTGAAGCTATAGCAGCTTTGTTTTTTCATTACCTTTTTACCAGGCTAGTAATTTCCAAGGTCACTAGGAACTGAACTGCAAGAAACAATCCATTATTGGCAGAAACCTTGACTGTGTGACCCCAGAGGTCCTTCCCCACCTCCAACTTTGATTATTGTATCAGATTTTTGTAGAAGCAATGCTCAGCCAACCATTTTAAATTTAAAATAATGAAGGTTTAAAAGCATCCAGGTGAATATGGAGATTCTTTCTGCAGATGGAGAGACTTTACAGGGCTGATTTCCCTGTGCATTCACTGGTTTTACTCTATGGCCTGATGCTGCATGATTTCAGAATGGTTACTTAGAGTTCACTTTGATGTGATTGTGAGGGAGGAGAGGGTGCTAAGCCAGCATTAGAGAAAGACCTATTAAATATCACATCTGAAGCTTCAAAAGTTCAACTACCAAGCAACATATGATACCATCAGGAGGACCATGCAAAAACCATCTGCACAGTGGATCTTTACACATGCCCTGATCATCTGCTAATGAACACATGTGGTATTACCCCATGTACTGTGATGTGGTTTAACAAGGTAGGAAATCTACACATCATCTCTCTCTTTATTAGCCAACCACAAATAGGAAGCCTTTACCATTTCCAGAATATCCCTCTGTAGCATTACCATCTGACAACCTCATATTTGTTAATTAGTTAATAAACTTCCTAAAATTGATTGAGATCTAATAGAGCCACCAAACAACTTTACTAACCCCATCTAGAAAAAATGTGAAAAAAAATATTGTATAGACTTTTCAGGAGGTTGGAAAGAAGGTGGAAAAGGACAATGCTCTATACAGGCAAGTTTCTGCATGGGAGATTATATTCCTCTATGATAAATTGGGGTAATTCTATGGATAAAAGCAGTCTGTATTGACCAACATTAAAATAAGTAGAAATTTCAAGACAAAATGTTCTGACAGGAAGACAGAGCCCATACAGGATGGTTCTGGGTTGAGGGTTTTCAGGGTTTTGTTGGTTTTGGTTTTTTCCCCTGAACACAGGCATGTAGCATCAAACAAGACAGAAAATTATCTTAATAACTCTGAAGTGGTGTAGGTCCTAATGGTTTACACCTGGAAACAATTATGGTAACCAACCTCTATACAGACATATATATAAAACCAAATTAATAATCTCTCTTCTTTCAGGTCATAAAGTAGAATGCAACTGTCTTGGGAGTTCAAAGATGTTGCTCTAAGTACACAGAAGAACTCAAATCTTGTTTTACTTTAGCCCTCTAGAAATGCTTTGTAAGAAAGGTCCTCCAGTCTTTCCAAGATCAGATGCACCCAAATATTAGTACCATCATTCTTATTGGTCAAATGCAGTGGCAACAAAAGATACTAGAAAGACCACATCCCATTCCACCATGAGAGCATAATTATTTCTAAGTAGAATTATTTTTTAATGGTTTCATTAAATTTCCAACATGCTTTAAAAAGAATAAATTTACTTCAGCCAAGAAAAGAATCACAATTAGGTACCATGGTTATCAATTCAAAAAAGAAAATATTTAGGTACTAGTCAAACAATATCAACATCAGATGAATAATATTCAGCAGTAGAAGTGGTATATTTCACCCCAAATACTTCAGAAGAAGAGGAAAGAAAAAAGGGAATATTTTAAACTTTTCTGTTTCTTTTCTTTTCCATTCCATGCAGACAGTCTCCAATTCATGGACTGCATTTTTACTTTTCTTTTTTTCCTCTGTGTGAACACATGAACTGAAAATAAATGCCTGTGTCTCTGCCTCTTCTCTCACCTTTTGTACTGCTGACTTAATAGAAAATGTAATTTGGATATCTGTAGATGTTCACATTTTGAAGTGATAAGCAGATCTTTTTGTATGGTTCTTGACATCCTCTAAGTTTTAAGCATATGTGGTATTTTGAAGCATATCTGGAAAATCTACTGTTGCTATTTTCCTGAAAAAAAAGTGAGAATTGATTCACTTGAAACAAGTTTCAGGCTATTCCATCCTGATAAACTCTTCAAGATAGAAGGCACTGCTCTTTCATTGACTTCTACCTGATAGCAAACAAACACAAATATCAAGAATAAATAACTGCTTCAACCTGAACAAGGTTCATTAAGCCATAACCCATTTTTTCAAGGAAAAGATTTAAATGCTTGCTGCAGCTCCCATCCAAAGCCCTCTCTAGTTAATAGGACATAAATAGCCCTGGACTTGGCTTTGAGTCTTGAGAAGGAAGTGGGATCAAATTGATAATGCTTCTAAACAGCATTTGCCAAGACATTCAGGGCTGCCTTAGGAGAGGGCAGTAGCTGCTAGTGCTCAGATTCTGTTCCCATGGAAGTCAATGGCTAAAACCCTATCTCACTTCAGTCAGGCCCTGAATTTACTCTGAGAGTTCAGTGGAGGTGAAAGAGAGAGACTGGTTTTATGTCAATCAAGCCTGTCGATATTGTTGGAGTTCCCTCAGGAGATCAGCTTCTCATGCTCTGCTACTTTAGATGGACAGATTGTGCAGACAAACAGCACAGAACTGCCAAAAGGCTGTTAGTATCACCAAAAGCAACACTGCCACTTAAATAGCACAAAAACTTCTGAAGAAAGGAGAAGGGGTAACAGTGCCCCCTTCTCGAATCTGGCAGTCTCTAAGAAATGTTCCAGCTCAGGAAGGGAATTTCAATTAAATCGGAGAATTCAACAAAATAAAGCAAACTTCTAACTAATTCTGAATACATAATTTCCGTATTCTTTCATTCATCGGAAGGCAGATACACTTGAGCTCCTACATGTGCAAAAATGTATATATTCATGAGCATGTGCTTCATAAAGGAAGATGAAAGCTGTCATTTGCATTTGTGAGTCTTCTTCATTATTTCAGGTGCTCTGAAACTTTTACTGTCTTAGGAGTTACTGAGAAAAGCTTGCTCCCCACTGTCATATAACATCATCTGTCCAGTAATGGCAAGAATTACATATACAAAAAGCAGTAACAGGACATTTTTATGCATTTTAGCTGATTTTACAATGAATATTTTTGAAGACAGAGTATTTTTCAGCATGTCAGGAAGAGTTTAATGTCTTCTCATTTTTTGCAACAATGAAAGTAACATTTTCAGTAAAAACAGCCATGTGCTTTGTGAACATTCATGTGGGTCTTTAGCCACCTCTATTTTGTTAATGTGAAGAAAAATAATTAGAAAGTCATTGGTATGACAATGAATGGTCAGTGCACAATTAATGATCTTTTTCAAAGTATGTTTTAATGAGAAAGTTGGATTAATTTCTTTTTCAGCCTTAGCAAATCGTTCTCCTCCACAATAAAAAACTGTGCACAGTAATAACTGGGTTCACAATTAGACCAAGTATTCATACTGACCAAGATCTGATAACTATTTTAATTCCTAACTGCCTTCCAAATTATAAGTATTTTGGTAACATTTCATGTGCAAATCACAGAGAACATCTGATTGAAACACCCATGTAAGAACCAACCTCTACAGATCAAACATTTGTAGTCTTTAAGAAAAGCTTCACCTTATGGTAACATCAAAGCCATTTTGTAAGGAGGCAGTATTTCACAGGGAGAAAT